GTCTGCTTATCTATTTCCAGTGCCCTCACATGGTTGGTTTGACCATTTTACTTAGCGTGTGTGTGTGTGTGTGTGTGTGTGTGTGTGTGTGTGTGTGAAGAGGCCTCACAGACCTCTTCACAAAGCCATAGTCAGAAGGCTCTACCTTTGTTTACATTCTGATGTACATTTTGGTGCAATTTTACTTACTTTGCAGTTCATTCTTCATGTTTACATATATGACTATAAATGATAGTATTTTTTGTGTCTAAAAATGCAAATTATTTTTTCCTTAATACTGTTTTTTAAATTAACCTTTTTATTTATAAAATCTAGTCCTTTTAAAGACTATAGAATTCCATCTAGTTAATATACCAAATTTCCTTTTCATTTATTGATGACATTCAGGTTGTTTCCAATTTTTTACAAACAATGCCACAGTGAACTTTCCTTATATGTGTATCCTTTCCAGTTTTACTAGATATTATCAAATTGGTGTCCAAATTTCATATCAGTTTACACTGTCACTCTCACCAGCTATGAATAAGCAGACCTGTTTACCCACAATCTGGCAAATGCTAGATATTTTCACATTTTCAAAATTTTCATATAGATGAGTGAAAACTTATCTCACTGTAGTTTTAAAATATATATAGTTTCAAGATGTGTGACCTTCTGCCAAATTGCCCTTCAGAGAGTTTGTATCAGATTGCTCTCATCAATCCTACATGTTATCATTTTTTAAAATTTTGACAATTTGATAGGAGAAAACTGGTATCTTTGCTGTTTTATATTTCTTGGTTATTACTATGATTGAAACTTTTTTCCATATGATTTGGCCATTTGTATTCTCTATGCAATGCTTGGTTGTTTTTTTGGCCTATTTTTCTATTGAAAAGTAAATGTAAATTTTAGCTCTTACGTTTAGGACAATGATCCATTTCGAGTTAATGTTTGTATACAGTATGGCAGTGTATTATTATTATTATTTCTTTGGCACATAGACACCATTTGTTCCAATTCCATTGGTTGAAAAGACTATTCTTTTCACATTGAATTGCTTTTGTACCTTTGTCAAAAATTCATTGTCAGGGGCCAGCCCGGTGGCACAGTGGTTAAGTTCGCACGTTCCGCTTTGGCGGCCTGGGGTTTGCCAGTTCGGATCCCGGGTGCGGACATGGCACTGCTTGGCAAGCCGTGTTGTGGTAGGTGTCCCACATATAAAGTAGAGGAAGATGGGCACGGATGTGAGCTCAGGGCCAGTCTTCCTCAGCAAAAAGAGGAGGATTGGCAGCAGTTAGCTCAGGGCTAATCTTCCTCAAAAAAAAAAAAATTCATTGGCCATATTTATATGGGTCTATTTCTGGACTCTCCATTGTGTTCCAATGATTCTGTTCTCTGTCTGTCCCTTCACCAACACCAAACTCTCTTGATTACTGTTGCTTTATAGTAAATCTTAAAATCACGTAGTATGATTTCTCCAACTGTGCTATTTTTCAAAATTGTTTTAGCTATTCTAGTTTTTTTTGCTTTTCCATATAAATTTTAGAGTCAGCTTGCCTATATTTACAAGAATTCCTACTGGGATTTTGATGTAATTGTGTTAAATCCATGGATTGATTTTGGAAGAACTGACATCTTTATTATACTGAGGCTTCCAATCCATGAATACAGTATGTCTCCATTTATTTGGTCATCTCTGATGGCTTTGATCAGGGTTTTGTAGTTTTCAGAACACAGATCCTGTACATATGTTGTTAGATTTACACCTAAGTGTTTCATTTGGGATGAGGGGACTATTCTAAGTGGTATTTTTAAAAATTTCAGTTTCCAGTTGTGCATTGCTAACATATAGAAATATGCCTAGTTTTTGTGTGTTGACCTTGTATCCTGTGACCTTGCTAAGCTTAAACTCACTCAGTAGTTCTAGAGGTTTGTGGATTCCTTGGGGTTTTCTACAGAGACAGTCGTGTTGTCTGCAAATAGGGACCATTTTATTTCTTCTAACCTATGTGTCTTTTTCTTGCCTATTGCACCGACTAGGATTTCTAGTGCTATGGTGAATAAGAGAGTGAGAGTGAAAATCTTGCCCTGTTGTTGATCTTAAGAGGCAAGCATTCAGTCTTTCACCATTAAGCACGATGTTAGCTGTAGGGTTTTTGTTCACGCCTTTTGTCAAATTGAGGAAGCTCCCCGTCCATCATGAATGGATGTTGAATTTTGTCACATGCTTTTTTTCCATCAATTGATTAGATTATGTGCTTTTCATCTTCGGATTGTTAATACGGTAGAGCACATTGATTCAGGTTTGAATACCGAATCAGCTTGACATCCTTTTTTCCCCTTAGCTTTATTGAGGTATACTTAATATACCAAAAAAATCATATTTGATGTATCCATTTTGATGAATTTGGACGTATACATATACTCATGATACCATCACCACAATCAAAGTAGTAACATAGTTGTCACCTCCAAAGGATTTCTGGTGTCCCTTTGCTTTTTTTTTTTTTTTTTGGCAAGAGCACTTAACATGGTATCTACTCTCTTAACAGGTTTCTAAGTGCACAATACTGTAATGTTTTGACTTTTTGACATCAGTTTTAGGGACAGTAAAATGTTTCAAGGTCACGTCTCTCTTTTTTTTCCCTTCTCCCTAAAGCCCCCTACTCCATAGTTGTATATTCTAGTTGTGAGTGCTTCCGGTTGTGCTACGTGGGACACCACCTCAGCATGGCCTGATGAGCAGTGCCATGTCTGCACTCAGGATCCGAACCAGTGAAACCCTGGGCCACCGAAGCAGAGCGCATGAACTTAACCACTCAGCCATGGGGCCAGCCCCAGCTCATGTCTCATTGTGGTTTTTTTTTAAATTGAGATCATGTTGGTTTATAATTTTACATACATTTCAATTGTACATCATTATATTTTGACTTCTGTATAGACTGCATTGTGTTCACCACCAAAAATCTTGTTGCCCCAGCCCGACATTCTCAAGAAAAAAACCCTCACTTGATCATGGTGTATTATTCTTTTTACATATTGCTATATATTTTGTTGGAGATTTTTTATGTCTATGCTCATGAAAGGTATTGGTCTATAGTTGTTTCGTTGTTTTGTTTTTTTCTTGCAATGTCTTTGCGTGGTTTGGTATCAGGGTAATGCTGGCCTCGTAAAATGAGTTGGGAAGTGTTCTTTCCTCTTCAATTTCCTGGAAAAGATTACGTAGGATGGGTGTTGTTCCTTCTTAAAATGTTAAGTAGAATTACCCAGTGAAATCATCTGGGCTTGGAGATTTCTTTCTTAGAAGGTTAACTAAAAAAACTTTTTTTTAATACTTAGGATCTATTCAGGTTATCTGTTCATCTTTTGAGTTGTTTTTAATTTTACTTATGGTATTTTGTGGCAGCCACAAGTTTTAGATCTTTTTATAATTAAACCTATCAATCTCTTCTTTTCTGGTATATCTTTGTGTACTCAAAGAGTTCTTCTTTCTCCAATTTTTAATTTTAGTACTTTCTATTCCTGTACTATGTTCTCTTTGGGGTAATTTATACTGTTCAGTTTTGATGTAAAAAAAATGTTAATCCATTTGGAATTTGGTGAATGACAGGAGGTGAGGATCCAGATTCTTTTTAAGTTAAAAAATTAGTATGCAAGAAAAGAATAAGGCAGCTTGGGAATCTCCCAACTCAATAATCATAAACTTTTTCTTGCTTAAAAAAATTTCCAGGGGATTGGCCACATGACTGAGAGGTTAAAGTTCCACGCCATCTGCTTCAGCAGCCTGGGGTTCACAGGTTTGGAGCCCAGGTGCAGACCTACTCCATTCGTCAGCCATGCTGTGGAGGCGTCCCACATACAACGTAGAGGAAGGATGGCATAGATGTTAGCTCATGGGGAATCTTCGTCACACACACACACAATTTACATATTCACAAATAGATTATATTTCTTAGTAACTATGAAGACTATTTAAAAAACAACCAATATATAGATGGAGTACAAATACTGTGAGTATACATGAGGAAATTTTTTAAAGGAGCAGGATAATTAACTAGAAAACACAGAATAAAGAAGTGTTTTCAATGAATATTTATGCTAAAGAAAACAATAATTAAAATATCAAAATAACTTTGAAAACTAAAAATGAATATTTATTCAATGACATGGGGAAATACAAGAATGGAAAAAAGTAGGATGCAAAACTTTCTCTACAACTCTTTCTCTCTCTCTCTCACTCTTTCTCACATATGACTGGAAAATAATGTATACCAAAATGGATTACTTTTATAAGCAGAGAAAAATCAACATTTTAAAAATATTTAAATTACATCTTCACAAATCCCAAATTCCTCCCGATGGGCCATTGAATTCCTTAGTGTCCATTAGTCTGATCAAGCCAGCTGAGCATGGGATACTGTCCTCCTTCACCAGTTCCTTGGTGTCTTTCCCAAATCCCCACTTGCAAAAGGACGACCTTCCCTGAGAAAGAACTACTGTTGAAGGATGAATTCATCACTTGGCTTTCCTCTAGACCCCAAGTACCTCACTTCTGAAAAGAGGTCAAGAAAATTCTAGCTGCTACAAACATTCCCTCTTATAAGCCAGAGGAAAAGTGTCAAGGAGACTGAGAGTGGAGGAGGATGAGAGGAGGAGCCAGCATTTTTCTCTTTTATCACTGGATTTCCTCATCAACAGATACAGCACAGGCCACATTCATAGCGTGTATAATCTCCACTCTTTATGCAGGTGAATTTTGCTGAGACTCTAAGAGAATAAAGGAAATAGAAATCAGAAGCTCTTATTGGTTTTGATGTTCCAACTAATTTGGGAGGCTACTGTGCCTAAATTCATATGTAAATCCTTTTGTACAAAATGGTGTCTGGCCTTATCTTTCCATCACAGGCATGAACAGCTAATTATAATTTGTCTATATTGATAGATAGACCAATCCCCAGTGTTCTTCCCTCCCATGACTGGGAAATAATGATAAGTGCAAGGCCACCTCTTCCACCTACCCTTGTGTTGGATCTCTCCAGACATGGCATAAGCCTTGGCTAGTAATGCACTTGCCTCTGCGGTTTGGGGGCTGACTTCAGTGAACAAAGAAACACAGATAGAATGGGCCTGGAATAGAGAAAAATCACAAGGTAAGTACTCAAATGATGGTGTTTCACTGTGGATTTTCTAGTAGTTTTCATGGAATTGCTAGTTGATTGAGAGCTGATATATATCTAATCGTGGAGTTACATGAGAGATGAGTTTGAGTTCCGGCTCTGCTACTTCCTAGCTGTGAGTCTTGAGCAAGTAATTTCACCTTCATATGTAGAAAGAATATATAGTTCCCATTGATTAGGGTTTGGGCAAGAGTAAATGAGATGATGCATGCAAAGCACTGGGCTTAGTACCCATCATATGGTAAGTTCTCAATAATGTTAGCTATTATTATTTTTTATTAGGTTTCATGGCAAAAATAAAATCATAACTTTAGCTCAGCCTCTCAAAGTATCAAAGGAAGTCTAATAAATCTTGGATCCTAGAGCCATACTGCCTGAGTTCCTGTCCTTGCTCAGCCACTTACTGTGACATAAGGCAAGCCACTGACCTCTTCAAATACAAAACAGGGATGACAAAAGTAGTATTTGTCAAAGACGGCTGTTGTAAAGATTAAATGAATTAATAGATGTAAAGTATTTAGAATACCACCTGGAATATAGTAAGCATCAGAGGAGTGTAGATTTTACTATTGTTATTATTTGTATTAAAATGGAAGGAGTAACACTTTGGAAAGAGAAAGAAGAGAGAAGACATCCAGTCCACACCCACCAGCAAGAAAAGAACCACCTGTGCTTCATATTTCACAGGTCAAACACCGTGAGGTGTTTCAAGAAGCTCCAGAGATCATCAACCAGACTCTGGAGCTAAGACACAGGGAAGAGTTGTTATGAGTACAGGTCTGGGGTCGAGTTTTCTGAGTTTGATCAAATCCCTGCTCCCCAACGGGTTAGCTACACAACTTCAGTTGAATTCGCTGTAACTCTCTGGGCTTCAGTTTCCTCATCCTTAAAATGAGATAAAGTAATAATGGTGCCAACTTCCTAGGGTTGTTGCATAGATTATATGAATTAATATATCCTCAAGGGCACACAGTAGAAGTGCTCCATAAATTTGAACTATTGTTTTTCATTGTTGTTGGGAAACACTGATTATTTGCTGTTTTATACATTTTGATCTGACCACTGCTTTAAAAATGTCTTGGACACAAATGCCAGATTGGCTTTCTCTGTAAGCAGTGGGCTCCCTGCATTCCCTAACATCTCTCCGTTGCATGATGTGAGTAACCTGGATTTTCGGATTGTCTGCAATGCCTTTTCTCCAGTATCAGTTTTCACAGATACTGCTGGATTACATTGCCCCTTTTCTATGATACAGGAAATCCAATATTTGATCCACTTTTGGCTATGGGAGATATGTGAAGCCACAAGCAGGGTTCTCATTTGAAGAGAGAAAAGGTGAATTTAAGTAGCAGTTTCAAGGGAACTTTCAAGGGCACTGTTTTCATTATGGCAGACTCAACATTCCTTCTTATGTTTTGGTTTCCCCTGGACATTTGTCAAATTAGTTACCTCCAAGTGAAATACTCTTTGTTAGTTTAACCTTAGACTTGCAAATACAACCAGCTAGACTAGCTTAAAGGACAAATGACAACATTACACGAAAACATCACGATTTTTCACTTAAAAAGCCCTTTGAGTTTGCTGAAGACTTCAGTTCAGCTGCTGCTGTGGCTTTTTTCCTTGGAGTAGACTCACTCAGCTGCCTCTTCCTAGCACCCACAGAGATGAGGGGAAGCCTGGGAGGGGAAATGCTGTCCTCAAATCAGGTCGCACAGCAGATACACCTGCCCTGAGTCAGGGTTCTCTGTCCAGGTTATTTAAGGTTGAGGAAGGGCTCTTGTGTGGATGTGGAGAGAAATCAATCCCACCCCTTGTTCTTCTAAGAAGCCCAAGTTTCCCTGGGTCTGGGGCCAAACAAGGCTATCCTGGTGGGGTTCCAGTCAACCCACCAACCTGTTGCAAGTACTGGATGGCCTGGTCGTGGTTCCTCCGCAGCTGCTCCATCTGAGCAATTTCCTGGTACAGACTGACCAGATCCAACGTCCTATCCCCCTTAGCAGCAATAACGTTGCCAATTGCCTTTTCAAAGTATGCCAGAGCTAGGTTCAACCTATGGATGGCCAAGGAAGCTCTACAAGAAAAGGGACAAAGACGGAAAGTCACAGAGAGGCCACTTACTTTGCAGACACAAAAGGAACTGATTCTAAGAACTAAAGAATTTGGCCTTCACAGACCAATCATCTGAGTGGTTGGCTCAAAATCCAGCCTTGCTGTAAACAAATTCCTACCAAGCTGCATTTTACCTACCAGATTCCATGGACTACCATTCATCAAACGCATTAATATATCATGCTACCGTCTAATTTTATAAAAAAGCAAATGGAAAAAATGGCTTCCCACATCATTTACCCATAAACATAGACTTTCTAAAATCAAAATCAAAATCAAACTTTAGCACCTCTGGCTCCCTCTCTTTCAGGCCAAAGCAAAGTTTTGCTTTGTTTTGTTTGACTTATTTTAGTTTATTCCTCCTCAGTTAAAAATGACAGAGGATAGAGAAAACAATGTAAAGATTCCCCTAAAAGGAGGTTAAATAAATTATGGCACATCATACAATACTTCAGACATTAAAAATTATGTTTTCTTTTTAGACTAACTACATGGGGAGAAATTCAAAATGTCGTAAGTTAGAAAAAAGTTATAAAATCGTACTTAAAATATGATCCTGACATACATAGATAAACAGGTAGATAGATATAACTAAAATGTTCAGAGCAATTATGTGTGGGTGGTGATATTACAATTTCATTTTCTTCTTCATATCTATCTGTATTTTCAAATTTTCCAAAACAAAATGGGGAATATAATTTTTTTAAATGATAATAAAACAGTATTTCATTAAGGTTTCTCTTTCTAGAGATAGCAAGACACAAAGAGAAGGAGACGGGTAGTTCAAAGCTGGTGCCCAGTTATTAGCTATATGGTCAAACTCCAGGCGCTCATATTTCCTTCCAAGTAAAACAAGGTTAAGAGTACCTAAGTTACAAGGTTGTTGTGAAGATTAGATCAAAAATTATATGTAAAAACGCCTAACATATAGTAGATACACAATCAACATGACTTCCCCCTCACCCCTTGCCCCCATCTTTGTATTCCCAAGTTGAATGGAAAATATATGTGTATGTATAAAATTATTTTATATAAGGCATTCTGCAACAGTTACAATTTATTTTAAGATGGAAGTTTTATCCTTCCTTTAAAGATTAGGATTAATGATCAAAAGAGCACTGGCATGTTATCTGATAATTCTTTACAAAAAAATTGTTTTGATCAATCAGACCACTATTTCCCTCGACCACAAGGACAGAAGTTATAGAATGATAATGGCCCTCATCAAGAGCTTGTAGGGAGACATTAGCCAAGCTGTCTCGCCTGAACAATCTTGCCTTATTTTCCCCACCTTTAAAATGGGAAAAGGGATTTGCCGTTCTAGATATTTGGTCAATATCAAACACAACTCAGTGTTGTACAGACGATGAGCTATGGATTCAGATGATCCAGTTGACCACGTGATCCAGTGACAATGCTGGCTCTTCTACCTGTTAGCTCTGTCACCTAGATTCACTTAATCTTTCTGTGCCTTAATTTTCTTATCTGTAAAATGAAAATAAAAATACCTACCTCATAGGCCTGTGGTAGAGGACTGAATGAAATAAATTATGTAAAGCACTTAGAGCAGCGTCTAGGGTGTAGTTATTCTTAGTAAACTTGCCAACACTTAGAACAGCGCATGCACAATAAATATTGTACTCAATAAATATTGTGGAATAAATGAATGAAATGTGCATTAGAATTTATTATGAAAAAGGAACAAGGCTATCTTTCCTATAAGGCACAAAAACCTTTGCCACTACCCCATGTGACAGCAGTAAACATTCCCTAGACTCTAATTTATGGCCCTGTGGACTTAATAGTCTGATTTAGCTCTGGACATTCGGACATCTCCCCAACATTTCCCAATGACTTCTAGACTCATCTTGTTTAGAGGATACAGGCATGACTCATGTATTTCACTTACTTACCACTCAGTCATCTGCCCTCCTGTACCAAATGCTTAGAGTTTTGGAAACAGATTGTTTTCAAGGACATGAAGATATCTGAAAAATCTAGGGAACAGTAAACTTTTTATTATTCTCTTTTTCTTGTGATAATCTGATGGGCCCACTCTCATATCTAAATATTCTGATTCTCAGAGGATCCCTAACTCAACGGCAAAACAGTTCAGGCTTGTTCAGGCTTGAACAAATTCCATGAACTTTGTTTCTATACAGAAAAGAACTTTCCTTAAAATGCATGTGTTGTGCATAGCTTTCATGGGCCTCCAACAAATTATCTTCATTAAGAGTTCCTTCCTCATCTTTTAAGATGTCATACTTAATGACAAAAGTAGGTGGCAATTCAGAAAAAAAGGTAATTTTAGAATAAGTGTGAGAGGCAGTGTCAGGATGGGCTAAGAGTCTGTGGGGTCAGATCAAAGATCCAACTCTTAAAGCTCGTCACCTTGGACAGTCTGTTTCACCTCAGTCCGTCTCCTTGCCCTCTCTCTAATGACATAATAATTGCACCAACTACCCCAGTGGTGGCTGTGAGGGTTAGATGGACACTGCTCATCAAGCTTGGACCATGGTGTACGTGTTTGGTAAATACAAGCCTCTTTTATTATCATTTGAGGCTCTGAGAGTTTTGCTCTGAATATTTTCCTCCCTTTATATAGACAGTACAGAATAATCATGTGATTCCAGGCCTCAGTCATAAAGCCTAGGCTTCTCTAAGCTCAGATCTTACCTGCCCAAAGCAATTGTTAGGTCTTTCTCTGAGACTTGTAATCCACAAACGCCTCTCCGATATAATTCTTTCAGCTCCATCATGTTTCTCTCTGCCTTCTGCAGGTTGAAATAGGCCTCTCTGCCAGTGAAACAGTCAAGGAAAATGCCAGGCACACAAAGTGCCCCCACTGCCCAGGGACCACAGTTAATAAACAAACAAAAGGGCCCCTTGGGGGACCAGCCCCATGGCTGAGTGGTTGGGTTTGCGCGCTCTGCTTTGGCGGCCCAGGGTTTTGACAGTTTGAATCCTGGGCATGGACATGGCGCCGCTCATCAAGCCATGCTGAGGCGGCATCCTATGTGCCACAACTAGAGGGACCCACAACTAAAAATACACAACTATGTACCGGGGGGCTTTGGAGAGAAAAAGGAAAAATAAAATCTTTAAAAAGAAAAAAAAAAGGGTCCCTTGGGAAAACAAAGGCATATTTGAAAATGGGCACTTCACTATGCTCTCTATTTTCCGTATGTATATGTCGTCAAGGGAGAATTCTTTAGAAAAGGAACAGGGCCTTGGGTTTCCTGTGGTGGGTGCCTGAAGCCAGGGCTGGGGTGGGTAGTGAGCATTTGGAGGAATGAACAGAAACCGTCAATTACACTAGATTTCCTTTAGCAGCATCCACTGTGTGACAACAGTTACTCATTTTTCCCAAATTGCTTCCTGTGAATGGTAAAAGAGAGGAATTAATTTTGCTGAAAGGGACTTTCTGGGTCATTTAGAAAGTCCAAGCAAAGCAGGTTTTTGGCGAGAGGCAAATAGCAGGAAAGAAAATCCCCTTAATTCCCAAATATCCTTCTATTTCCCACATTTTCAATAACCCCCTGTTAAGGGCATAACAGAGGAAGGCCACATATCAGATTCTGCAAGTTGAGTATCAAGACCAACAAAGTAGAGAGGGGGTCGTGTAGAGAGGAGAGGCTGGGGGACACACGGGCTCAAAGTAGGCTCATGATTACTCATAAGCATGAAATACCCTTCACAGTTTTCACATGGGGATGGCACCCAAAAGGCTGTCAACATCACAAGCTTTTTGAGGAGAGGCCTATATAAAAGTTCCCCTCTGGGGATGCAGAGAACTATTTCTTTTGTTTATTTTGGTTGGCCTCCAGCTTCATGGGCAGTATTCTTAATAGCATTTCCGAAAAACTAAAATGATCAGGAGTCCATTAAATCAGAGGTTTTTGGCTACATGTTACAATCACCTGGGGCGCTTTGAAAACTCTCAGATGCACCCCAGACCCACTAAATCAAAACCTCTAGGGGGACCCAAACAGCAGTAATTCTTAAAGCTCCCCAGGGGATTACAACATGCAGCCTGGTTTGACAAACAGTGCCTTAAATCACCACCCATTCTCCTCCTTCTACACCACCACCACCACTACCACCCATGTCCTCATTGCTAATACTGATTTTCTTGAGCACTCAATGAAGAGCAGGACAAACTCCAAAGACTTTCAACGGGCTAAGGGATATATCCCCAGTGAGATCCCTCCCATGGCTCCACTCAGAGCTTATATGAATAGACAACAGGAGGAGCATTCATACCTTACTAGATGGAGATAAGAGGCTGGTGGAGGGCCTGGATGTTGGAATAGAGCTACAAGGCCTTGGTTCCATCTCCCACCCTCCTGTGCGAGAGGATCCATCTGGCACGTGTGGCACTTGGCCCTGACCACCAGACCCAGCTGGGAAGAGAAGGATATTGGTTCTGCAGGAGCCAGGCCACCCCCAGGGTGTAGTAGAGCATGACCAGAGCTTCCAGGATTTCCTTTCTTTCCTTGTCTGAGGTCGTTTTTCCCTTCCAGGTCAGCAGTGTGTTCTTGGCAGACTCAGCATGTTTCTTGGCCTGAGCTGGGAGGCCTGGGGGGTTTCAGGGTAGGTGGCAAGAAGAAAAACATTAAAAAGGTGTGTTCAGTCAAAGATATTCCTGAGAGGGGAGAGGTGGGCAATGTGGTTGTTGTATGGTCTATAGTATTGGTTCCCAAAACTGGTGGGGCATCAGAGTTATCTGGAATGCTTGTAAAGAATACAAAGTCCTGGGGCTGGCCTTGTGGCATAGTGGTTAAGTTGACACATTTTGCTTTGGTGGCCTGGGGTTCATGGGTTCAGATCACAGGTGCAGACCTATGCACTGCTCGTCAAGCTCAAGCAAAATGAGGAAGATTGGCAATAGATGTTAGCTCAGGGCCAGTCTTCCTTACCAAAAAAAAAGAAAGAAAAAAGAATACAGTTTCCTGGGCCCTAAGACCTACTGAGTAGAGTCTCTAGAGGAATGGGGTCCAGGAATCTATATTTTTAATTAACTCCACAAGTGCATCTCATGTAGCCACCCTGGTGTTAGTCTGTGGACCTCTGTTTGGAAATCACTGATGGAGAGAGGAGTGGAAGCTGAGGATCCCATTCCCAATTCTGCTGCTAATGCCACGTGACCTCTTCAACCCACAAAGCTTCTCCATCATCCTCCAAATGCAGAATGACAACAATAATTATAGAAGCTGCCCCTTTACCAAACACATGGAGATGGGCCAGGAACAAACTAGGTTATGCCACAGAGTGCTATGCTTTGAGCTTTCTGGCAGAGGCATTCTATAAATAAAAGGACCTATAAATACAATTACTTCCATCTGGGGATTTTTCCAACCCAGGATGAAGCTGGTGATATTAATTGGTCACACACAGACACGCACAAAGAATCAAATTTCTAAACACAGTGAGGCTCCTCACCAAGAAACTAGATAGGACCTGGTGTGTCTCCCCTTTCTTCTAATTAAAGGCTAGTGCTCCAAGGCACGCACTTGAACTGCTGTTCATTCAGTTAACAGAGGCAGACTTGGGAAGATTCAGTTACAGAACTATTTCCTCATCTTCCAGCCTGGCTCATGTCCAGTGATCCCTGATGGGAAAGGGGAAGCCCTGGAGAAAAGAGAAAGGCCAGCAGAAAACATTATCCTAGTTCTCCACTCTGACGAAGACAGTCATGGCCGGCGTTCACTTTCAGCTCTCCTCTCTGAAGCACCTAGGGTCTGGGGAACACATTCACCCCGGCCCAGTAGGCCCGCTGTGCCTCTCATTCTCACTTCACATTCCCAGTCCTCAGCGTGCTGTCCCTTTGGCCCCGAGAGCCTGGTTTCACAGTGTGCGTGTAGTCAACAGCATTGGGATGGTTTGAAAGGACTTGCAATTGATGCCTGCAGCCCTCCTATGGGCCAGATGTGCAGGACCTCCTCAGTGAGTTGCAACAATGAGAACAAAGCTTCTCTGGAAGAGCCCTAACAGTGAGCCTAAAGCCAAGAAGTCTTTGCAGAACACTCAGAAGATGCCTGTTCTATAGGTTTCAACCAAAGAGAAAAATGGACTCTGTGGTGGGCTGTGTCTTAAGTTACCAGATAACAGTGGTCCTCAAACTGCACTGTGCACCGTAAGCACCCTGTTAAAATGCAGATTCCTGGGCCTTACTGCCAGTAGTTATGGTTCACAAGTTCTAAGGTGAGAACCAGGGATTCACATTTATAACAACCATCCTAGGAGATACTGACGCAGGCGATCTGAAGACCACACTTGGAGAAACACTGAGTTAATAAAATCTTTATAGAGGAAGTGGGACTCATCTCCTTTTTGAAGAGTAGGTAGGATTTTGACTGATGAAGAATGAGAAGAGGTTTCTACTTGGAGTAAACAGCCTGAGGCCAAAAAGAAAGAATAAGCCAGTGTGTGTGTGTATTTGTGCATGCACACACGGATGGGGTGGATTTGGGGGTATGTAGGAGTGTCAGAGAAGGCAGAAAGTTGACCAGTCTGACCGAAGGGGAGGTTTAAATTTAAAAACATTTAAGGTGTGAATTGGACAGGTAACGTGGAGTCTTGGATGCCAAGATGAGGAGGCTGGATTTGATCTGTTAGTAACAGGGAATCTTTCTGTGTATTGAAGAAGATAGCGGCAACAGAAAACTGTTGGGGACATCAGACCAAGACACTAAAGTAGGAAACTGAGAGAGTCTTTCTATCAAACAGGTTCTTTTCCACAGCCAGGTGAGCCCTTGGGCATGTGTCAATAAGGAATGCAGGAGCCAAATTTAGAAGCTCTCCTGGGTTTGTAGGAAGGAGAAAAGTGAAACTGGATGAGCTATTGAAAACCACCCCCAAGTCAGCACAATACTCCTTCTGGGCTCCTGAACAGAAAACAAATAAGACAGCTGCTCTGAGGCTTTGCCAGTCTGCGCCTCCCCGCCCCAGAGTGCCCAGCGCTGGTCGTGAAATCTCCCGAGGACTGCTTTTCTTCTAAGCTCAGCAGCTGATTAATTACAGAGTTCCTTGTCTCCACTTGACCATGCTCCACACTGTGGTCCTTCTGATGAAAAAGCTGAGCTGGTGACCAACGGGGCTTAAGCAAACTGAACTAGGATCCTGATTTAAAACAGCCCATTAAACTTTAAGCCCCAAAGGGGAAAATCACTCCTTTCACCCTCCCAGAATCCACTCGGGTCTCCACAGTGGGGTGCATGTACCCCTACAGGTGTGCAAGATGCCACAAGGGTGGAGGGGAGAAAACCAAAACTCCTCTGCTACGTTTTCATCTTATCTTTTTTGTTTTCTATTTTGATGAATATTTATAACATTACATAATATATTAGTACCATTGTATGTAATTTATAATAAATACACATATACAGAGAGTGTTTGCTCAAATTTTTTCTAGTAATAAGGGAGCTAATTCTCAAGAGTTTGGAAACCACTGCTTTAGACAAATGTTTTCCAACATTTTCAAGTATGAAAAAACTCTTTTTTTATGTTTACAAAAAAATCTCACTTGGTGATATTTTTATAGCATTTCCTACGTGAGAAAATTCATGATGACAAAAGTACCATGAATCAGCATCAGTAAAACTTTGAAATGAATAGGCTTTTTATTAATTTCAAGAACACCTTCTTTTATGTAAAAATAACACTCTGCATATATGTATATGTATAAGACGTATTTTCTCTCTCTGGGGAGGATGCTCACAGATTCATGCTCTCATTCTGTAACTCCAAGCCCCATCTCCTCAATTCCAATATCCGCTCTGAGATGGAATCATTTTCCTTTACTTGCCCTCCCAAGCCAAGGACACCACCCCTCTCCCTGCACCAAGAGTGCAGTAATTACAGAAGTAAAAGTCAGCATGGCAGCAAGATCTGCTCCTGGCGTCGAATTCAGAAATTACAAGGACATATTGATGAACTGGAAAAGAGGTCCAGAGATTGTCCACTAGACAGGTCAATCGCTTGCTTTCCTTTGGGATGAGACTCCACCACTGACGTCTGTTACTGTGACTCAGGCCAGAGAGAATCTGCTCAGAGCTACCCAGTCTGAGGAGGTTGCTGTTGTCACCTTAGATCATCATCTGTATTTAAGTTAGCGTGGCTCAGTGATTAAGAGAGCAGGGTCTAGAGGCAGCCTTCCCAGGGACAGATCCTGGCTTAGCCACTTCCTACTATCCATGTGGCCTTGAACAAGTTACTCAATCTATCTGTGCCTAAGTTTATTGACCTATAAAATGGTAAAGAAAATACCTTCTACCTTGTAGGGTTGTTGCAAGGATTAATTTAATTAATTCATGAAAAAGGATTAAATAGTGCCTGGCACATAAGAATGAAATGAGTTTGAATAAATATTAGCCATTATTTATTATTACCAGGGTCCGTTCCTCTTAAGCAGTTTATTATATTTGTCCTTTGGACACTTTTCATAGAGCTGCTTATAGAATCTTTATAAAAGGCTGCATTCTCAAATGCGAGCTCCCTTCAGCCAGGTACTAGGCTGCCTGCAGGTCAGATCACCTGGCTTTTATCATTCCCTGTTGTTCCTGGACCAGTTTTGTTTTGTTTTGTTTTTTACCAACTAGGCAGAGAAGGTAGCGCTCAAGACTTACGCTTCTTTTTCTGCAGTTTGCAACAATTATAATAGAGCCCCAGATACCTGGAAGGTTTCCAGTAAGAACAGGCTGACTATTTGTTTATTATTAATAATTAATTAATTAATAATCAATTAATTGCTTCATTAATAAGCAAAATATCAGGACACTGCTTGTCCACGTTACTGTATTCTCCTTCCTGAACTCTTGAAAACAGTTCACCGCTAGGTGACCCACCACGCTGTTCTCTGATGCCCTTTTCTCAGCCGCTGAAACACTAGGCCCATTAGGATTACCACCAGGTCAGCTGGCAAGGGACTTCCACTTCCACTGTGCCTCACTCTATTTCACCAACCAACAGCCTTTTATACTCTCTGCTTTGCAAAGACCCCTCACTGTCCCATGTTATTGAGTCCTGAACCCCATTCCATCAACTGCTCCATCTTTTAAAACCTGAATACTCTCTCTAACGGGCTCCTTTCTCACTGCCTAAAATCTTCCTGGGTCTCCTTCTAAAATGATCTTCACGGGATTTTTCCGCCTTCTCTAGTTACCTCCTACTTTCCCTCATTCTTTTCAATATGTAGTATGTAGCATACATAGCCTAGTCTGCTGGCCCTGGTTTCTTCCCCTCATCCCTGGGATCTGACTTCTGCTCCACCCATTCTGTGGAAGATGTTCTCGTGAGGCCCCCAAAGACCTCCTACTAAATAAATCCAGTCACATTTCTCAGTCCCCATCTTGCAGCAGCCTCAGACACCCTTGGTGACTTGGCTTCTCCTCCTGGCTCCCAAAGCACTAAACCAACCTGGTTTTCCTTTATAAACCTTCTCTAACTGGTTCTTTGCTAACTCTTTACGAGGATCCTTTATTCCTTCCACTAATGTGTCCATTCTCCAAGGGTGTGTCCTTCAGTTTCTTCCTTTTCTCCTCTCTTTCTCTCTCTGAAGTTTTATCAACTCCTATAAC